AGCCATGGGGCCGGCCCCTCCACATTTGTATGTTGGGAATAGTGCGTAGTACTTAGTAGGAGTGTGGCAAAGATAGTCATTAATGATTATTATTGTCATTACTCTTTTTATAATTTTATTTATTTATTCCCCCAAAGCCCCAGTAGATAGTTGTATGTCATAGTTGCACATTCTTCTAGTTGCTGTATGTGGGACGCGGCCCCAGCATGGCGGGAGAAGCAGTGCGTTGGCGCGCGCCCGGGATCCGAACCCCGGCCGCCAGCAGCGGAGCGCACGCACTTAACCGCTAAGCCACAGGGCCGGCCCTATTGTCATTACTCTTGACAGCTGGTAAGATCAGATGGTCCTCGGAACCCAAGGCTGGGTTTCCATTTTCCTTCCTTTTTAATTTAGTTATCTTCTCCCATCTGCCTCCTTTTTTGTCCTCCTTTCCTGTCACCAGTGTACGGGTTTACCTGCCTTTCTCCCTCTAGGCCAGCCTTCTCTCCTCCCCTCAGAGAGCCCGCTGGTGGCAGACTCACACTGGGTAGGTTGTCTGCCTTGCTCTCCATCAGTCAATAAAGATAAATTACAAAATCATTTGTTTTATTTGTTCTTGTTACCTTGAGGGCTGGCTGGAATTGCCTTTCTTTAGAAAGCCACATTTGCATATCTCTATGCTGGAGTCAAAGGCTGCAGCTGTGGCTTCACTGCAATTTAAATATTAATAAAACCTCCTTAACCTCTAGCTGTCTTTTTAAGCAGTATGGCCCTTCTGCTCCTAGGCTGCTAATATAATTTAATCTTTGTCCTTTGCTTTGTATTTGTTTAAAGAGCCATCTTGGAGTCAACTGAAGCCAGCTCCTGCAACCTTATAGATAAGAATCACTAACCAGCCCACAAACCTTCGTTTTCCTTAACAGGCCCAAGATTCACTTCTCCTGGAGACAAAAGAATAGACCATAGGTAACATTTTATACAAATTAGCAGTTCCCTTACACTAAGCCAGTGGTTCTCAAACTTGAGCTTGCTTCAGAATTACAGATTGCTGGACCCCACCCCGTTTCTGACTCAGTAGGTCTAGTGTGAGGCCCCAGAATCTGCATATCTAACAAGTTCCTAGATGGTGTTGTCACCCCTCCCCCCCATTCCCCATCAGGGGACCATGGTTTGGGAATCACTGCACTAAGCTGCATGTTAACCTGCCTCATCATTCCGGGTCCCTGACACTAGGTCTCCAAAGTTCTTGTTTCCCTGCCTCCATGTGGGCAGCGTCTCTCCAGTTCTACATCCCCTCAAACCATTACTTAGATTTTCCTGATCACTCAGACTCACTTCAGGATCAGCTCCCTCTGCACCTCCGCAATCCCTGCTCTCTATAGGAGCTGGCTATCTCCAGTTCTCCTTAGTTTTCTATTTGCCCAGATTCATTTCTTTAATTTTCTCCTTGTTATAGGCAGATTTACAGGCTGTTTGAGAGAGCTAAGCATCACTGAAGTGCGGTAAATGGGCCTCAGCCATTTTGCAGTTTTTGATAAGCAAGCTCCCCCGATGCCTGCTAGTAAGCCCCATTCTCTCGGGTTTCTGTGGGTAGATCTGCAGTTCCCCCTGCCCTTCTCTTGGTGCTGCCTGCTTCTGGGGCTGCCCTTATCTGCTCCTCGCAGCCTTCACAGGATACACTCTGGGCAGCTTGGCTCCTTCCGCTCCAACCACCCTAACACTGATTCCTTTCTTTTCCTCCTGCATGTTTTTGAGCAGATACTTTGTTGATGATTCTGGTTGCATTTTTTAGGAAGGAGATATTCTACTGAGTTCTTCTCTAGGCCCCCTCCCTGCGCCTGCATAATAATCCCTTCTCTTCTCCTTCCTTTCCAGTTCCTTTGCAGAAGTTCACTTCGTGAAATGAGATAAAGGCAGTACAGGAACTAGTTCCCAAAATGCTGCTGTGCCCAGAGAGGGCTAAAGATTGTGGGATGTAAAAGTGGGAGGACATTTTAGAGACAGAGGTCAAAGGCACAAGTAGATTTACTCCATCATCAGATAAGACTCTTAAACCCGGCCAAAGATCATGAGGCCAGGGCCAGAAATTGACTTCCAGGAAAGGCTATGCAGAGCTTGAAAAACAGATGGGGTGGACATTTGTTGGGAGAACTTGAAAGACAATTAAAGACAACTTTGTCATGTGTTTCAGTCATCTCTGCTTTCACCCAGGATTACTGGGAAGGCAGGCTGTACTAGATGGATGTTGCTTTTTCTATTAACCCATCAGTGATGGGGCAACAGGCTGAGGCCTGGCTCACCCCCAGGTTCCAGTAAGGCATAGCTTGTCACTGGACATGAGACACTGTGGGACTCAAGAATGGGCTAGTAGTGCTTCTGCTTGCTTCCTGCCTGCCTTTACTGCTCACACTGAAACCCACTGACTCCCTGGCAGGTAGACAGGGAGTGGCATGAACCCTAGAGAGGTCATGCTGTAGGCAGAGGCTGAACTGGAAGGCTCTGACAACTGAAAGATAAGCCATCATAAACTGGGAGGCCGGATGGGAGTGGAAACAGGAGTACCATGATCTAATCCTGTAAGTCTTTGGCCTAGGGCTGCTTTCCCATAAAAGAAGATAGAGAGTGCTAGTTTCCCTCACAACCCACTCCTCTCCTGAATTCCCTTGATGCTTGAACTGGTGCCTTCTGACCTGGGGCCAGTGACTGATACAGGTGGAAAGGTGCATGGTGAATGATGGGATGGAAAGGGCAAGGTTCAGACTTCTGGGTTGTCATTTACTAGCTGTGCAAACTCTGAGCAAAATCTTCTATTTTCAGTTCCTATTCTTCAAATGAGGTGACAAATAGCCACTTCATACAGCTGTGATGAAGACTAAATAAGATAAAAATGTAATAATGGCAATTAGTTCCATTTTCTCTACTCTTCCCTCACCCACCCACCCTCCTTACAAATATGGCAGTACTGAATTGTGTGAGGATTTCATTCTCTTTGCCTCAAAGAGGATTCTAATCTCTGAACAGTGTGAAGACCAAGAAATGATGATACAGACCATTATCTGTGGATTAAGCATGTTAAATAGGAGTGGCTGTCAGAATTCTAAAGATGTCTTCCCTGGATTTCTGTCCCCTGGTTATTCAATTAAACACTAATCTAGGTACTGCTGTGAAGGGACTCTGCAGCGGTAATTAAGGCTATGGACCTTAGGATAGGGAGATTACCCTGGATTATCTAGTGAGCACATCTCATCACTTGAGCCCGTTTTTTTTTTGGCGAGGAAGATCAGCCTTGAGCTAATATCCATGCCAATCCTCCTCTTTTTGCTGAGGAAGACTGGCCCTGGGCTAACATCCGTGCCCATCTTCCTCTACTTTATATGGGATGCCGCCACAGCATGGCTTGACAAGCAGTGCCTCTGTGTGCGCCCAGGATCTGAACCCGGGCCACCAGCAGCAGAGCACGCGCACTTAACTGCTCCGCCATGGGGCAGGCCCCAACTTGAGCCCTTAAAAACAGAAATTTCTCTGGCAGGAGTTAGACAGATGCAGCAGTCAGAGAAATGAGGCAGAAGGGGAAGTCAGAGAGATTCTAAATGTGAGAAAGACTTTTTTTTCTTTTGTGAGGAAGATCAGCCCTGAGCTAACATCTGTCGCCAATCCTCCTCTTTTTGCTGAAGAAGACTGGCCCTGGGCTAACATCCGTGCCCATCTTCCTCCACTTTATATGGGACGCCGCCACAGCATGGCTTGACAAGTGGTGTGTCGGTGCGCGCCCAGGATCCCAACCCTGGGCCACCGCAGTGGAGGGCAAGCACTTAACTGCTACGCCACAGGGCCGGCCTGAAACGTGAGAAAGATTTGACCAGCCTTTCCTGGCTTTGAAGAAGGAGGTAGGGGGTCATGAGCCAAGGAACGTATGCGGCCTCTAGAAGCTAAGAATGACCTCTTGGCTGATAGCCAGCAAGGAAATAGGGATCTTAGTCCTACAACTCCAAAGAACAATTTGGCCAACAATGTGAAATGAACTTGGAAGTGGATTCATCCCCAGAGCCTCTAGAAAGGAACACAGCCCTGCTGACACCTTGATTTTGGCGTTGTGAAACCGGAAACAAAGAAATCAGTTGAGCCAACTTGGACTTCTGACCTACGGAACTGTGAGATAAATGTGTGTTGTCTTAAGCCATGAAATTTGTGACAGTTTGTTATGGCAGCAATAGAAAATGAATACAACAGGTACTAAAGTCCCCTCAATAACCCTAGGAGGTAGGTACTGTTATTACCCCCATTTTACAGATGAGGAGACTGAAGTACAGTGAAAGGCTCTGAGAAAGTCTGAGCCTCAAGAACAGTCATACTTGGCAGAAATGTTTGCTACCGAGTTTATTTGCAGGTGAACATCACATTTACAAAATGTATTTTGTACAATCATGTCTGCACTGCCCTCACACATGGGGGGCTAAGGAAGACCTAGTCCTTCCAACAGTTATAAACAGTCCTGGATAATAAGTTTATAAAAAACACTTTCTCATCCTTCAGCAAACAAAATTATTTATGAAACTGTACAGTTCAGCAATAGGGAGCAAGGGGAAAAAATTACCTCAAGGAAAGCAACAGCTCCTTTCCTGGTGGGATCCGTCATTTTGCAGACATGCAATATTCATATCAGAGATCTTATATTTCAAGAGGAATGGGTTGCATATTAGAGCTACAACAATAAACATTTTATTTATCACTAATGGGGAATTAGAAGACTCTCTTTGGACATCAGGTCTTGAAAAGATTCTGCTGTTTCAGAACACATTAGTGCTAAAAAATTCTTTAGAAATCCAGCAACTATAGCCCAGACTTTTGGAGATCAGGGTCAGTCAGCATGACTCCCCTATCCTCTAATGAACCCTCAAGTTTCATAATTATATCCATTATCTGCCTCTGAATTCCCTCCCCCAGGCTTCACTCCAGCATTTGAGCACCGCCCAAGGACTGTTTTGATTTTAAGCCACGTCACAGATCCCCAAATACTGACTCTTTATGAACACAGGGTTTTAGAGAAACCAACTTAGGGAAACCAGCTATTCTCCTGAGACCAGCAGCCACTTGGAGCTTCCAGCTCTAAGCCAATAGCCCCAGTACAAGGAACAGGGCTGATAAATAATGAATCAGCGTCTTGCTCAGTTTGTGGAGTTTAAATGGTTTTAAATTCTTTTCAGGTGAAAAATTACCACAATTTGTGCTCATGGCCGATTTCAAAGGGAGACTTGAAGCAGAAAATCTTTAAAGGACCCTTGCATAGCCAGAAGTTCTTTTCAGGCTGATGCACATAAAATATTTAGTAACCCGGACTGTGGAAGGACTGAAGAGGAGCTCCCAGGGCCTAGAAAAAGGCCATTTCTTAAGCTCATTCTTGGGGTCTTGAGGAGACAGGCGCTAGACACATTGCTCACTGGAATCAGCAGCAGCTCTAGGAGATCTGGGGTATGAGGTAGGTGTCCAGCTCCTGGCACTGGTAGAGGGCTACGCTGTCCAATACCCACTCTCGGGTCACCACAGGTGCCTCACACATCTGCCCAATCACTGGGGACAGGGAACACAAACAGAAATTAGTGTCAATTCGCATTTCCCCAGACCAGACTCTTCTTTTTTTTTGAAAATTTTATTATTTATTTATTTATTTATTTTGGCGAGGAAGATTAGCCCTGAGCTAACATCCATTGCCAATCCTCCTGTTTTTGCTGAGGAAGATTAGTCCTGAGCTAACATCTGTGCCCATCTTCCTCTATTTTGTATATGGGATGCCACCACAGCATGGCTTGATGAGCAGTGCATAGGTCCGTGCCTGGGATCCAAACCTGCGAGCCCCAGGCCGCCGAAGCGGAGTGCGTGCACTTAACCACTACGCCACTGGTCGGCCAGTTCTTTTTTTGTGAGGAAGATTAACCCTGAGCTAACATCCAATGCCAATCCTCCTCTTTTTGCTGAGGAAGATTGGCCCTGGGCTAACATTCGTGCCCATCTTCCTCTACTTTATAAGGGATGCCACCACAGCATGGCTTGATAAGCGGTGCGTCGATGCGCGCCCAGAATCCAAACCTGCAAACTCCGGGTCCACGAAGTGGAGCACGCGCACTTAACTGCTCGGCCACGGGGCCGGCCCTGCCCCCAGACCAGATTCTAATCAATCTACTTGAGTCCTGGTTATATGAGTTTTTAGGGTTACTCAGGTAAGGGCAAAATTGTTGATCTTAAGCAATGCTTTAGGACATAGCACCTTACTCAGGGGCCTGAGGAGTGAATGCTGGTGAAAGTGTACAGCCTCTGGCAACTTGATTAACATGAGTTCTTGGGCCGGCCCTGTGGCTTGGTGGTTAAGTGCGCGCGCTGCGATGCTGGTGGCCCGGGTTCGGATCCCGGGTGCGCATCGAGGCACCACTTCTCCGTTCATCCTGAGGCCGAGTCCCGCATACAGCAACTAGAAGGATGTGCAGCTATGACATACAACTATCAACTGGGGGTTTGGGGGGAAAAAATAAAATAAATAAAATCTTAAAAAAAAAAAAAAAAAAAAAAAACATGAGTTCTAATCTGTTAAAGGAAAAGTCACCAGAGAGAGCAAAACAGCACTGCAATTTAATGATATGGAAAAATGTTTGCAATATCTTAAGTGAAAAAACAAAACAGTATCATGAGCATGCTCACATTTGTGTAAAATACATATGTGTACATATATACACACACATGCCTGGAAGACTTTTATGGTGATCATCTTCAGGTAGTGGGATCACTGGGATTATTTTATCGTGTTTGTGCTCATTTACACTTTATGTGATGAACATTCATATTTAACCCCCACCCACAATGGAAACAGTTCATTCATTAGTTTTAAAATGCAAAACAAACAAACATCAAACTCATCCCATACAACCTCACACGACACAGGCACATGCTTGTGGCTTTCTGAAGCCCCACAGGTGCACCATCCCCTCTGGTTGATCTAAACAGGACATTTAAACCTAAAATCGGCACAGTAATCTGCACACCTAACCTGGGCCCTCTACCCCCACTTCTCTGGATGAAGGCTTACAGCAAGACTTACCATGGAAGCCACTGTCCTCTGTCCAGGCGTCTGGCTGCACGACCACAATTGGGTGAGTACCCTGAATCCCCAGGAAGGAAACAGCATTGAGGGTATCAGAGCAGGACTTTTAGAATAGTCATTTTACTATTTCTCAAAGGTTTGCTGAAGCAAACTACTCTGGGGGCAACCACAGGAAGGAGGGGGAAGGGCACACGACAAAAAGGAAGGATTAGAGGGAAAGAGCCTTCCCTCAGTACATTAATGCTTGTAGCTCTCAAGTCCTTACTCAGCCCTTACAAATGGAGTCTTCTGGCACAGGTACGTGGTCAGAGAAGACTTGGGGTGAAGAGAGGCTTCTGAGGATGCACTGAGGGGGTTCATAGGGACTGATGGGTGCCGCCTTGCTCAGTCACAGGACAAAATATTGTGTCCTCCCCCTCTGACAGGGCACCAAACACTTACCTCACCGAGGGTGAACGATGAAGGCTCCTTCACCACAGAAGCCCCACAGAGGTGCACCATCCACTCTAGTTGATCTAAATAGGACATTTAGACCTAAAATCACCACAGTAATCTGCACATTTAATCTGGGCCCTTGACCTCATACTCCTCTGTGTAAAAGCTCACAGCAAGACTTCTCAGTGTGAGAATCCCTACTGTCTCTCTGCTCCAAAGGGACAGACAGGCCTTAAACTAGAATCTATACTAAGGGTATGGATTCTAAGTCAATTTGCCCCTGATATGCTACCTACGCTGGTTATCAGACCCCATAAGGCCACTTGGTAGACAAGGTTTGATAGTCTCTCAAATAGAACACCTAGAAAGAAAAACAATCCAAGATCTAATTTCCATTAATTTGCTAAATTGTTGGCTAAGATACTGTGAAAAAACACCCACCTGCCTTCCCTCCCTCCCTGTCTCATTCTGTGTTGGTAACTGATAATCATGGCCACTGAGAGCACCATACTTGGTGGTAATTACTGTAAATGTCAAGAGATGGGAAGATAATTCATTCAGCCAAAAAAATACACATCCTCCTGGACAGAGACTCAGCACACCAGCAGAGATAGGCTACATGCTGAGCTGGAATCAGCATACTCAGGCGAATAGAAATCAGAAGAGATGGTAGATATGTTCCACTTGCACCTGGAAAATCAGCTGAACTGACCAGTGGGTGGCTTCTGGGCCCCCTGGGGTGCTCTATTCCACCAGCCCATTTCTGAGGATTGCTGAGGTGCTCCTGTTTGTCTGAGTGAACTGAGGTCAACTGACTCACCTCCAAAATGATTCCTGCTAGAGACCCTGGTTTTCTTTATACCAAAGTACAAAAACACTGAGAAATCCTTCAGTGGCTCTTAGAAATTTCATAGAAATCCAATCAATATCCAATAAAGACGACAGAGCCAAATTACTTTGCCAGGCTCTCTTGCTGACACTCATCTGTCCCTGATCAGATGCAAGACCATCTTCTGAGGAGTAAGACCTGATCCCTGGGGCAGAAGTGGGCACAGAGGCAAAGGTGGGTGGCCTCTGTTTTGAAAAGAACGAACCAAATCTACACACACACCAGGGCCTCAGCACTGCACAACTCCCGAGTTGAGCCCCACAGCACTCCTAAACATAACATCACATTCAGTGCCAAATTTAATTAGAAAACATTCATCAAGAGTCTTCCCCTGCTCTGGGGCTGTGTGGGGCCCCAGGCCCACAGGGCTTATGCAGCTACGTGTGCTTTCTTCTCTCTATCAAATGAAGATGGTTTAAGAGCAGAACTCTTTCTTGACGTTTACAAACCCAAAAGGTATCTTCTCCCTAAATGATTATTTCCCCCTTTCTTAGACCAAAGGGCAGTAAGAGCAGCTCTACCCCATCTGAGCATAGAACATACTGTGTCCTAGATCCTGACTCTTCACTGCCTTCTTGCTCTTGAGAAGGGGCACAGGGTTAGTTTTTTGCCATAGGGTAACATTTAGGTGCAGTTCTGTCTGACGGGTGGCAGAGAAACAGAATAACCTCTAGAACCTCTCACCAGTCTGAAGAACCCCTATGACATGATCTCTCCTATAACACTCCACTACGTAAGGGAAAGGCTGGTCCTGGACTCTGCAGTTCTCTCAGTCTCTTACCTGTGGGCATGTTGGTAAAGGGCCCATAGCAACAGATTTCTAGGCCCCTGAAGATCTGGGAGAAGAGAGGGACAGAGCAATAGAGAAACAAACATTAGTTATAAAAGGGTATAGGTTTTATAAAAAACAATGAAACGAGACTCTCAAAAATGAAGAACTTTCCTTTTCCTTTTTTGTTTTTGAGGAAGATCAGCCCTGAGCTAACATCCAATGCCAATCCTCCTCTTTTTTCGCTGAGGAAGATTGGCCCGGGCTAACATCCGTGCCCATCTTCCTCCACTTTATATGGGATGGAGCCACAGCATGGCTTGACAAGCAGTGTGTCAGTGTGCGCCCAGGATCTGAACCTGGGAACCCTCGGGCCGCCGAAGCAGAGCGCATGCACTTAACCACTATGCCACCAGGCCAGCCCCCTCTTTTTTCTTTTCTTTACCACCTGACGATTTCTGTTGTTACTTCCCAGAGACAATCAGGCCAATGTTCAGAACACTGATGGATTTTAGAAGACTTTTTAAAAAGTGTGTATGTAGTTGATCTACTCTACAGTCATTCTTTGTCACTAAAGGGCTGGGCATCCCACCTTGCTACCAATCAGGCCCAGGCTCCTCCCTGATAACCTTTGCAGGTGCCTTCACTTCTTGTTAGAGATGAGAAGAAACTGGTCCTTCTTTATGTTTACTAAGAGGCTTGGATGGCACGAAATTCAAGCTATTAGCTACAGTTTGATGTTTATCCAGACTTGGTACATCAACACTAACTATGACCCTGATTGGCAGAGGTCTATGTTTATTCTATGTGTACATGCTCCTTTTCTCCTCTGACTTTCTGGTCCCCGAACATCTGTTCCTGCCTTCACACTGCTCCAGGAATGGCCATTGTTCCTTCAGGCGACCTAAACAGTTTTTAATCCAGAAGTGAAGCCTGGTTCTGCCTCTCCTCATGGAGCTGATCTGATTGCCTGGTTTCCAGGAGATACAGATCACACTGCACCTCCTAGGGGCCTCTTCCACTTACTGTGCTTAATAGCACTGTCCAAAAAGAACTTTCTGTGATGACGGAAATGTTCCATATTTGCATTAATAAGGTAGCCATGAGTCACATTTAGCTACTGAGCACTTGAAATGTGGTTAGGGAGAATGAGGAATTAAACTTCACATTTTATTGAATTATAGTTATTTAAAATTTAAACAGCCCCATGTGGCTGGTGGCTACTGTGTTGAACAGGCAAATTTTTAAACATGCATTGGCACAGGTTCTTAGGAAAGGACTTGGACATAATTTAAAAGAAGAAATTTAGGGCCGGCCCCGTGGCTTAGCGGTTAAGTGTGCGCGCTCCGCTGCTGGCGGCCCGGGTTCGGATCCCGGGCGCGCACCGACGCACCGCTTCTCTGGCCATGCTGAGGCCGCATCCCACATACACCAACTAGAAGGATGTGCAACTATGACATACAACTCTCTACTGGGGCTTTGGGGGAAAAAATAAATAAATAAAATTAAAAAAAAAAAAAAAAGAAGAAATTTAAATTTGTGTCAGTTGGCTGGATATATATCATTTGGGTAACCCTTGTTCTCTTGACCCTCTTTCTTTCTCTCCATTCCACTACAAAGAAAACTGCCTGGGCCTAGAACTCACCTCGCTTCAAATAAGAGACTGGGATGGAGAAAAATCAGGAAGCTAAAAACACAATGGCCTTTTAGGAAATGGCCCTCCCCCCACTACACATTTCAACTATAGCCAGAGGAATAAGAAAGGACAGCAGGACAAGTTTGTTTCTGTTTTAAGTGACAGCCTCCATCTGTGCCATTCTCACTATCTGTGTGAATAAACTGCATCTCCATCCTGTTGACAGGACCTCATAATGCTAATAGTTCTCCCCAGGCAGCCAGCTGGAGTCAAATATTGCTGTGAAAAGTACAAAAGATTAGAAATTTTTATATCCAGGCTGATACTCACAGATGAGAATGTCTAGTTATAAGACAAGAAATTTGAAGTTTTACCTCAACAAATACATTTTTCTTCCACAGAAAAATATTATGGTGACATTTATAATTTTTTTTATTTATTTATTTATTTTCCCCAAAGCCCCAGTAGATAGTTGTATGTCATAGCTGCACATCCTTCTAGTTGCTGTATGTGGGATGCGGCCTCAGCATGGCCAGAGAAGCTGTGCGTTGGTGCGCGCCCGGGATCCGAACCCGGGCCGCCAGCAGCGGAGCGCACGCACTTAACCACTAAGCCATGGCGCTGGCCCTATGGTGACATTTAGTATCTTCAGAATGTCAGTACTTTGACCAGGCACTTTCCATCACTGCCACCCCAAATGCAGGTAAAACCCCAAAACACTGGAATTTCCTTTGAAGGGGGGAAGAATCTGGTGCTAATTTTGCCTTGCATACAGTGGAATAAAAACAAATGGCTGGCTCACACAGAACTCCCCTGGGGTGAAGGTGGAAGCCGAAATAGAGCCAGCAGCTTTTCTTGGCATCTGGAAGTTACTTGATAGGCTCAGAGGGTGAGGGTGGGCTGACTCCAAAGGGTTTAGAGCTCCAGGGCGTGATTTGTGATCATCTCCCAAAGCTGTTTTCCTTAGAAAATCACCTCTGCTCGTTCTCGCTCAAGTTCTATAAAGGGACACAAGGTGCTCCATACGGGGATGTTCTGAAATGCCCGGCAGTGCACACTTGAAAAAGGAAGAAATGTAGACCAGGAACGTAAGCATTCATCAGTGACCTGAGAAAGCAGCCAGCTCAGGCCTGACAGGCAGCTGTGAAATCTTGCCTGGACTTTTCTCTCTGAGAGAAGAACAGTTTTGGCTACATCATCTGCTACAGTATGATCTGGGGAAAGTCACTGAGTCTTCCTGGGCGTCTAGTCCTTCATTTGTCAAGTTGTCAGAATAACCTATTTTTCTCCTTTGTGAAACCTACAATTTTCCAAGAAACTATAGTATTGTCATTAAGAGCTCAGATTCTGGAGCTAGATTGTCTGGGTTCAACTTCTAGTTGTGGGTTCACAACTAGCTGTGTGAGCTTGGGCAACTTACTCTGATTCTCTCTGAGTTTTAATTTTCTCATCTATAAAATAGGCATAATTATAGTACATGCCTCATAGGGTTGCTATAAAATTGTGAATTAGTTAAAATATGGTTGAGTGCTTAGAGTAGTTCCTGGCAATATAGTGAACATCATACAGATGTTAGCTATTGACTCTCAATCACTTTCTCTTCTATGCTTGCACAGGCAGCACTGTGTACATGCCCCTCACAGCACTTACCACACTGCTTTAGAGGAAGATATCACAGTAAAGTGGAAAGAGAAAGGCTTTAGATTCACATCTGTTTCAAATTCCAGCTCTGCCACTTATTAGCTGAGATTGGAACCCCAGACTAGAATCCAAATTACATAGATTCTCTAAACCTCTAAATTCCCTCATTCATAACAGGGAGCTAATACTTTTTTACCTTGTTGGGCTAGGAGAACTAATAAAGAACCTATATGAAAGCACCTAGCTAGTGGTCTAGCAGTGAGTATGTAATGTCCCTTACAAGATGAATGAGACCATCTCCACACAGGGGGCAGCAATGCAGAGGGGTGGGTGGGTTTTTGTCACCATGGGGAGGAAGGGCTTTACCTTTCTGTCCTGGGATTCTCTTGCTCGCTTTGGACCTCGGTGGTTTCTTCCATTGACAACATCTCCTCTGACTTCAAAATCATGCTGAAAGAAATCAAATCCAAACCACAGGGATTAGAGAAAGAGAAGTCCCCTTCAATGGACGCAGAGTAGATATGTCATATTTAAGGAATTCAGTATTGCCAGGCAGAGTTTTGACCCCTCCCTCCAAAAAAATCATTCTTTTTTGGCAGACTGGATGAAATGACCAGCGTCCCAGCTGCTGAAATCAATTCACTGAAGCAAATCTTTGCGGGCAGAAATTAACAATTGGCTTTTCACCTCACTAGGACGTAATGTATTTTAATGTTCAACATCTATCTCCTCTCAAAACATTCACTTAGCATTTAGATTAAACTGCTAATACTGTGCTGTCATAAAGATAACTGGAGAATTCCTGATCTCTTAAATCAATTGTGCATTACCATCTAAAGAAATAAGGGCTTCTCATATTTCCATTGAGAGGTTTACAGTTAATGAAACCAAAATGATAAAATATACATTTAACACTGTGAAGAAAGTTAGATGTTTCTCATAATCACTATTTTGACTGGTCAAGGACAAGGGAATAAAGAATAATGAGATTGGAGAGGTTAGCACTTTTGGGAGAATTTTGGGGAAGAATGCTTAGAAATAATTCTGACTGAAACTCATATTGTAGGAAAGACCACATCAGTTTGCCAAGAGTATCACGAAGAAAAATAAAGTCATGAGTATAACCACAGGCTGTTATTAGGGGAAAGAACACTTAATATTTCCTAGACACTTGAGTGAGAAGAGTCTAGTGATAAATATGTCATCTATTTGAAGATGACCCTCAAATTTATAGCCCTGATTGCACCCTGGTGCCTACTTAACCTCTCTGCTGGATGTCTAGTATAAATCCCCAAATTCATGCATCTAAAACAGAGCTCTTCCTTCTACTTCTGCCTCCTGTTCCCCCTACCCCAGTATGCTCCTCTCCCATGTCTTTCTTATCTCATTTAATGTTACTGACATCCATTCCATTGTTCAGGCCAAAAACCTATGGGTTACTTCAATTCCTCTCTTCACTTCATCTTCCAGATTTAACCCATTAGGAAGTCCGATCTCCAAACATATCTCAAACCAACCTCTTCTTACCATCTCCATGCCTCCAATTACCCTACAAATAAAATTCAAATTCCTGGGGCTGGCCCCGTGGTGTAGCGGTTAAGTGCATGTGCTCTGCTGCTGGCAAGCCCGGGTTTGGATCCTGGGCGCGCACCATTGCACCGCTTGTCAAGCCATGCTGTGGTGGCGTCCCATATAAAGTGGAAGAAGATGGGCACGGATGTTAGCTCAGGGCTGATCTTCCTCACAAAAATAAATAAATAAATAAAAATTCAAATTCCTCACCATGACTTACACCAAATCCTACCTGATCTGGCCTGTCTATAACCTTCTCCATCCCCTTGTCTAACCTCTGCTCCCCACATATGATTCACTGTCTTGACATGAGTACAGCCATGTTTGGCCGCTCCATTGACCTACAGCCACCAGCACAAAAAAGAAATACAAGGCTGCTTTCTGCGTGGTGGGAACTGGCCCTTCTCTCACGGAGGGAGTTGCAAGTTGTAACATTTCAAGGCTCTTGGAGCGTCGTAGCACGGGATGGACTG